ACGGAGAGCCTGCCGGCACCGAGCGCCCCGGCCAGCCACGCTGCGCTGCCTTCGCCTCCGCTCCTACAATTCACCTCGTAAACTGCGGCCATCTGGGTTCTAGGAGGGGTAGGGACACGGGCTCTGCTCTTCCACCGCCAGGGCACAGAGCAAAGCACAGCAAACTTCACCCTCCCCGCGGAGAGGGGCGCGAGCCTTTCCCAAAGCGGCTCACTGGGAAAAACCAAAACCTGTGGGGCTACGGCACATCGCCCCCGAGAGCGGGCGGCAGAAGCGCGGGGCAGCGCTCCAGAGGGACCACGTGAAGCTGCACGGGCACGGCCAGCGCCGGCCTCGCTGCCCATAACCTCTACGGTTTCTCTCCCTCAGCCCTGCCCTCACCTTGCAAAGGCGTTTTGGAAGCTTTAAGCCCCCGTACGGGTCGCCTATTTGCTAATGAAGGGCGCAAGGAGCCAGCGATAGCCACGCACGCTTGACGACGCGGAGGCGAGCGGCCGTGCGCCATGCCGCGCTGCGCGCGCTCACCTTTCACAGGCCGGTGGGTGTCTCCTCCTGCTAGTGGCTCTGCAGGGGAAACAGAATATGGGGTGGGTGGCAAACGACGGGGCAAGAAGTCACAAACCCCCTTCCCCTCCCTCGCTGCCCCTGTGGGCTCTGCCTCCGGCCCCACAGCCCCAGGCCCCCCACGCCCCCAGCCGGGCAGGGCAGGATGCGGCCACACAGCATCCTGCCCGGCGGGGGGCACCGGCACCTACCGTGCTGGAGCTGCCCTGGCTGAGCTTGTCGAAGCGAAACTTCAGGTTTGACCTGGGAGAGTTTCTGTTCTTTAGATCTGCTGGAGGGAGCGGGAAAGCAAAGAAGAAAAATAATAATCTGTGAACAAAAATATTTGCTGAAGCGGCTGCAATAGGCTGCCACCAGCACTATCAATATTTAGTCTATCTTGGCTGAATGTTTGGCAAAATGTGTATATTAAGTGTTTTTGATGGAACAAATTGAGGCTTAATTACATTTCACAGTCTTTCTACTGGAAATGCCACTGAAAAGGCTACAAGGAACGACTGATCCGTATAATGTATGGGTGGATTTCCACGTTCTTGGCAGGAAAAATACAAAATAAACGCTAGAAACAGTAAAAGGGGCTGGATTAACAGTTCAGCAAATCACTAGTGCCATAAGGAGGAGGACCTGTGGGGTGCTGAGGCCCAAAGCGCCAGCCAGCCCGCACTCCGCAGCCCAGCCTTCCCCCGCGTCGCTCCCAGTTACGGAGCGGTTTGGATTGGTGCCTCCCCGGCCGTTTCGCAAACAGCTCCCGCGCT